CCATAATCGTGGCACTTTGGATAGTGCGCACGAACGAATTCCACCAAGGTTTTATGCACCATACGCAATTCCAACATATTCTTAGATATAAGAAGCTATATAATAGGAAGCGAATAAGGAGAAGAGCTTAGATAGGCCCTAACTTAGCTAATTCGTACAGCTAATCGGTAGTAATAGCAGATAAGAATAGGAAGAGAGGAAAGAGGGGTAAAAAGCTCTTATACAAGAGAGGAGATATTAGTCTCTATATTAAAATATAAAAGTTAGTAATAGCTAGAAAGAAAGTAGTAGGAGATAACAAAAAGAGTATAAATATAAATTCAGGGGTCGTACGAGAATAGTAGCCTTAGTTAAAAGATTAAGTGTAGGTCTAAAGAGGAAGAGTAGGCCTTCCTAGTCGTACCCTATTAAAAAAAGTTTAGAGTTTAGGTAATTTAGGGTTAAATCGTACGACTACTATAAGTGACTATAGAAGTTAAAAATCAAACTAGTTATAGATAGTATGTTAACTTAGAACTTTTGAAAATTTCAAGTAAATCGTACGAGGGAAATTGTGGGCTTTCAGGGTAGGAAAACAGAGAGCTTTAGGGGTAGTAGGTCCAAATTCTGCCTATACATAAGGTGTCTACACCGCCGGGCTTTGAGGCCCAAAGCCCTAGGTCCCTTGGGTTAGGCTGATTATAGGTGAATTGTCTGCGACACTTTTCTTGGTCCCCTGCGACTTATAAAACGGACCCCTGAATCCAAAGCGTATACCTATACTATGAAAGTGGATGCCTGTGATTACTAAAGCGGCACCTACGAGAAACTACTAAACGGCTCACTGGAGCCACTGCGACACACTTTTGTTCTGCGATATTATTCTGGGTCTGCGACATCATTTTAGTTCTCTTTCCGATATAGCTCATGAATCATGGAGCATTGGTATTCGAGAACTGTCATGATGAAACGCGATCGCTCTTAATCAGATGTTTACGATGCTAGAGAGCCGTGTCACGCTTTTTTGAGAATTCTCACTAGGCAGACGGGACGGTGGTGATTACTTTTACCCTCGAGCCTTTGTTGCGCCGGGAGTGTCGAGTGGCAGATCGTCTCTGGTTAGCCCTTCAAAAACTTCTACAGTATATGTAAACGTTACGATGAGGAAGTACTGTATGCCCGGCAATAGCCTTCTATGAGGACTGTGTCTGTAGAGTGTCTGTAGAGTGTCTGCAGAGTGTCTCTAAGAGGTGTAGGATGACAAACTTTCATTCCGTAGAAATTTGCATCGTCAATAATTTGAAGCCAAAATTCTGCAGAACTACTCTCACCATCATCAATATATACTCACTTTCTCTACTCTCCTAGGTAACAACGGCGTGCCACTAAAGTCAAAGTACGGTAAGAATGCTACTAGACATAATCCCGAGGCTCTCTCAGGCTTCTTATATAGTCGCTTTCATAAGGTTGATAATAAGAGATTTTAGATAATCCAGGATGTGCTCACACCTAATGGAATCCCAACAGTTCGCTGCAAGAGAATATATCCACAACGACACCAGTCTGTATAACGTGTTAGCAAGAAATATGTAACTATAATAGTGGTATAATTGGGGGAAAATTCAGGGAAGAGAAAAGAAGAGACAGGGGAGAAAAATCGTACCAACCAAATCAAATCTGTGCGTCACAAGGGAAGAAAAGATTGGCTTGTAATCCCGACTATCGTTCGCAACAGAGTAAGAGTTAGCCAGTAAACCACAAGAGTTAAACATAATAAACCACGACATCACAGTTATGGGTCGTAAAACAGGTCAAACACGAGGTTACTGGTTTAAAATCCAGTTTATGTTCTCCCCAGGCTAGTACGAAGGTATCTGAGGATCGTATAATGAAAGGGCAAAAGAAAAGGAAACCAAAATTCGTACATTAACTGACGCCCACAAAGCAACTTGCAATGTTAAGCTGGATACCCTCCTGAAGATCCCAGGAATATTAGCTCCTGAGATCTTAACTGGCGATAGGACATAAAAAGTATGAAGAAAGAAAAGCTTACATTTCCAGACCAGTCACAGCAGTGCATAGTGTCACTTCCACAATGACCTAGGAAATCAAGCAACTGGCAGAGTCCAGTCTCCCCGTTACAACAGGATGGCTTGCTATTGATGCCACCGCACGTGAGTCCACCTGAATTGACTCCACCAGACGATCCAAGGTGGTGGGGCTTCTGGGAGGGAGCAGCTATGATGCCGGAGACGAAAAGAGAGATCCAGATAAAAGTTTTCATTTTGGAGTTTTGTAGGTTTTCAAGTCCAAAGAGGGGGTGATAAATCAAATCGGAGATTTTGCTCTCAGTAGTAAGAGTTGTTTATAGGAGAAAGGACACGTTCACCGGTCCCTGGGAGCTGCAGGCGTTTTATACTTGGTTCAAAGATTAGGAAAGTTATTTTATTTATTGCAAAATAGTTATTAGATTCCTCTCATTCTGTTCTATTTATGCAACATTCTTAATCTCCTAATGGTCAGGTACGGGCTGCGGGAGAGTCAAAGTTAAGCATCCCGTTATAACTAAACGCTAATCGTGTGTGAGGCTCTGGCTTACAATGTATTTATCTAGTTAGACTTATCAGGCTGAGAATTCTGATATACTAGTTAATCCCCTACGGAGCCGTCAGTAATATGACCTCTTTATACGTTGACTAGGTATCCTGAGGGCTGGATCTAGAACCTCAGTTTATCTGTTTTAGAAAGTCGTAATCAAGCATTCCTTTCAAAATCTACCGAGATTCTTTCTAATTAAATTAAGCCTGCTGTGTAGATACCCCTGGAAAAGAAGGTTGTGACGGGGAATGTCTAGGGAATTCCTCTTGCTACCATGGCGAAACTGGACTTTCAAAAATTGTTCATGCCTACTTTCAAGTGGTACTCTATGTAAGGGGCTGAAAGGTAAATCGCTGTCTGTACGCGGATGCAGTATGATAAAGACGAGGAAAGTTTTGGTCACAGTCTGGATCATAAATGACCGACATACCCATTCTGTGGGTGGTGTTTTGCTCGCCGGAGTCTTCACTCTTGCCGGAGTCTTCACTCTTGCCGGAGTCTCCAATCTTGCTGGAGTCTTTAGTCCTGCGGGACCTAATCAGAGATTTCAAGCTCTAGGCACTCTACAGGTACTCTACAGACATTATGTGATCATAGAAGACTATCTTCCGACATACTCCCTCGCCGTAACATTTACATATAGCAGGGTTGACCAGAAGCGATCTGCCACTCGACAGTCGACACTCCAGCGCAAGAATGACTAGAGGGTAAAAGCAATCATTGCTATCCTGTCTGCCTGGTGGGGATTCTCAAAAAGGGACAATACGGCTCAAGAGAGGCGCGGCGCTCACATGATTCATGAGCTATATCGGAAACAGAATCAAGAGGATGTCGTACAAATGTGTCGCAGAATAAAAAATGTATCGCGGTGGCTCCACTAAGCCGTTTAGTAGTTCCTCGTAGGTACTACTTTAGTAATCATAGGTATCTACTTCGATAGTATAGGTATCCGCTTTGGTTGTAGGGGTCCGTTTTAGAAGTCGTAGGGGACCAAGAAAAGTATCGCAGACGATTCAACCTATAATCAGCTAACGTAATTCACAAGCGAACCGCTCACACAAGCGAGCCGCTCACCCCACCTGAAATCGCTCATTCCTACCTACCCGCCTAATTCAACCAACTACTATGCCACTAATTCGCACTGAATCTTCGCAAAAATCGGCCAATAAAGAGGGCAGGATTCTATTAGCCCTATCCGATATCAAAAATGGTCGTATTAAATCTCTTCGCGCAGTAGTGAAGCTATATAATATCTGTCGGCATGTATGGCCTATGGGCCAGATATGCATCTTGAATCCTGCCTGCTTACTGAGCATTCCTATCTTGCTTACCGCTAGGAAAACCCAATCTTGTTTACCCCTTTGAACACTAATCAGATTGCCTACACACGTGATTATGGACTGCTTTGCAGATGAGAGATCGCACGTTCTGCTACTGGTCATGAAAGAATTTGTGGAGATTCGAGTCTGTCGTGTATTTTCAAGATATGTGATGAAAGCACTCAAAATACTAATCAATTGGCCTTGTCAAACATACATTCCCTCAATACGAGTCCGGAATCCGGCTCATCTTATCTTATGAACAGCTATTATCTCCGCATTTTCGCAATCGGTCGGCCGATCGTCGGGCTTGTGCGCATCCAGGTGCATTCGCCCTTCGGACAATCGCCCGTGTATAACGGGGCTTCAAATCTGCCTTGGGGCGCCAGCCATATCATGTCAGAACCGAGGAAGATCGGGTATATGAATGACCAGACCGTCTCAGCCGCTATTCACATCCGCCAGTGGTCAATAGACCACGAGAGTTGACGAGACGATAATAGTGATACATGATAATCGCAGTGCTTCACGGCGGCTATGCCGAAACTCAGGAACGATCTTTGAACCTCGTTAGACCGCGTGACAGCATCCATTTTTGCGACCTTCACAGTTTTCCCTGCTATAGTTCGCTTTCCTGAGCTTTCCTAGCCCCTGTCGCTGAGTACGCCTTGTCGCCGAAACCCTGTTGCCTTTATGATCGATTGGCAGAGAGGTTGAATGCGCAGTCAGGTGGTTCCTTAGAAATAGCAACCGCACTTTGCGGTATGGCTATTAGACCTAGTGGATGAGCGGGCGAGTCATTCGTGCAGTAGTAGCCTACACGGTATTTCAGTCTCAGAATCGATTAGCAGACAGGTCTCGTCTAGATGCCACCATGCCGAAGAAACTGCCCTCTGTGCCTGAGACTCCTCCGAGCGAGTCTACCTTAGCTTGCAGGTTGAACAAGGGTTGATCGATCTGATAAGCGGTATAAAGCCATGTATCTCGCACGCCGTCTTCGTGAAAAGAATCTAATTCGTTCTTTTTATCTCAAGCAAGTGCTCAGTTTTCCCTTTGTTATCTAATACGTATTTGTTTCTATCTCTTCTACAAGTTCAAGTCAATATGACCTCTTTTGCAGAAAAGGCGCACGAAAACTTGGGTAAGAGACCCTCTCCGAGTATGATTGATTTCGCTAACTTGATATTGCGAAGCTTCAATTCCAACTAGGTTATGTGAATGGCCTGAAGTGGTCGTACGCGACTCCTCCATCGTTTCCCCCGAGTTCGGCACGCAGGCCAATCCTATCGTCATCGGAGATGATCTTGCTCCATTGGACTCGGCTTCCAATCCCATCGTGATATATGTGGACGAGGGTTAGTGTCGTAATGGAACAGACCACTTTGGCTCCGATGTCGACACTGAGATCATAACTACACCGGAATTCTGGGAGACGTTGATCAGTGGAGACTTCGCCATCCCTGCAGACGAAGGTGAAGCTATTGTCCGTACGCTAATCAGATAGCTAGTCTATGAGAATCCAGAAGACCTTCAATCATCCAAGCAATCATCCCTGGACTGTTTTCACTTGGATAACAAGGCACTGAAAGTGGCGGAGAGTTCGTTCTACACGCTGCAGAATTGTTCTGGTCTTGTGGCCGCAAGCAGCGAGTACGTCGAAAATGGTCATACAGGTACGCTTTGCAGACGACTATTTGTGGATGTTGTACTAACGATGTCTAGAAAGCGCGCAAAGTATGGAGAAAGGCAAGGGTTTGAGGCCGAGGAACCCAGGGAGGCTCGCCACTCGCCTGAAGCTTCGATGATGACCCGGACCGCCGTTCCACAAGAAACAACAGACTAAACTAATACTTCCCTTGTGAAGGACCTACCATGTGACTCCTATGGTATGCGGCCAACAAAACACAGATTGTCGCATGGGGAAGGAGTCTCTTCTGAGCTCAGACGATCAGCGCAATTGGCCAAAATAGCTAGAACTTGACGGCGATGGCCTTTGTGTTAATACCCGCTTCTTCCGCTGTCCCTCTATCGTCCACAGTTGGTGAAGACACGACCTAGACACCTACCAATCCCATGCCATGGACTTCCTACCACATCCTATGCGCTCACACCACAGAGACTAGGCGGCTGGTTGGTGAAGAGGATGGGGTGATTTTGGCTGTTATGATGCGAAAGGGAGGGGCATTCGGAGTATCCAGATTTTACGGGATGTTTAACCTGGTCTACTTGACTGTCATAATGATATAGTTAAACCGACGAATACATGTTATCACTTTTCTATCACCGTGAAATGTACCCACCATCGACATTCAAGATGGCGCCTGTAATCCAACTAGCCCCATCACTACTCAGGAAAAGGACAGCTTTGCCAATATCCTCTGGCAAGCCCAAGCGTGGCCATGGAGTAGCACAGCGAATCTCTTTATTAAGTGTCTCATCCTCCATGGCAGAGCGAACCATGGCAGTTTCGATAAACCCAGGACAGACAGCATTGATATGGATCTTATCAGGGGCATAGTCAAGTGCGGCTTGACGAGTCAATCCCACAACTGCGGCTTTGCTGGCACAGTAAGAGGCTGAGATTTGGTTAGCAACTCATGGTTCTGGTTATTCTCACGGAGAAGAGACCTCCATACGTTCCATTGAAAGCCCCAGCAAGCCACCGATTGATGAGATGTTGACTATCCAACCGCGGTCTCCAGAGGGCAGAGGGTCCTGCTTCATCATTTGCGCAATGGCATACTTCATTCCAAGAAAGACACCACGGGAATTGACCCCCTGTAGAAGTAAGCTTTTCTGCCATATCTGAAGGAAATGTCCAGTTGCCCTACCATTGTCTTATCAAATGCATCAACCGACTCTTCTGCAATCTTGTGTTGCCCACAAAAGACTCCTGCATTATTGACCATGCTTTGGGCATACTTTAGCAAGGATCGCTGTAGGCAAAGTACTCAAACATACATGTCCAGGCGACCATATGTGGTCACTGCTGCTTTGACAAGTGCTTCTATATCCTCTGCTGCACTGGCATCTGCTTTCTTGAAGATGGCCTTTCCCGTCCTAGCGATTACCTCGTGCGTTGACACATTGTCTTTTTCGTATCCACCAGCCCGCAAGTCGGGAGTGATGTCACTGCACACAACACTCGCACCTTCTGAAGCCAGTGCCATAGCAATTGCTCGGCCGAGGCCAGATGATGAGCCAGTGACGACGGCGACTCTGCCTTTAAGGCTATAACAAAGTTAAGGAACGGCTACTTCACGGGAGTATGCTCGGGGCTGGAGGAAACGCCCACTTACTTCAAGATACCCGACATTTTTAGTGTTTTCTGGTGCCGTTGTGTCTCTGTGTTTATTCTGCAACGTACAAGGAGTCGGAGATCGATGTCAATTTTATAGAAGATGTTTGGTAGAATTACTTGGGCAATATCAGACAGAAGCCACAGAACCACCACTACTTCCTTAATCAATATTGAGGGTGATGAATCACAATGGAATGGACTGTAGGCTCTAAATTAGAGTTAGGCAATTCAGAGCGAAGAGAGGCACTAAGTAACCGGAGTGGTCCACTTTCGGGTTCTACTGCCTCCCCCACTTCAACCGTATTCATATCCGTCCTCCGAATTTGAGACTGTTAGCTGATTTCATAAATGACCATACTGTGTATACCTCGGAGGATTCCTTGCAAAATTGTTGACATGAGAACAAGTTCAATCTTCACATTCTGAGTAGTAAATGTCATCTTCCAATTGAGAGGGAGCGTTGCATTACGTAACTGCGTCGCTCCGGCGGTCGCCGACATCCGGAGATAATGAACGGCCTCGTGATCAGGGAAACCCAAGTCAACCTATTCACCCCTCGGGCCCGCCAAGGGAGGAGCTACCTAGCTTCCTAGAGACCAAGATGCCGCACCAGAAAGCTCCTTGATGAGCTCGATGATCACAGGCCAAGTCCGAGTCTGTCAATCCCAACCCTTATAGGCCCGAGAATCATGCCGGAGAATTGCGACTTGGAATTGCGGACGCCCTCAAAAAAAGGGAACAAATCGTTCAACGGATGCTGGACCTGCCGACAACGAAGCATTCGATGCGATGAAAATAAACCACAGTGTTTCAAATGCATCAATGCCAACCGCGAATGCGAAGGTTTTGATGTCCGTCTCACCTGGCTTACTATCACGCCAGAACAGCTTTGTCAAAGACAAGCGGCATCACAATGGGGATCTAGAGATCTCTTTTCACGTAGAGACAACGATGGCGACGAGAAAACCCCTAGTCAGCCCAAACGCCGCCACATCCCTTCGCGGACCATGTTCAACGTGAACCTGCCTTCCTACAACGAGGTCGAGCTAGATACTGTTTTATACGAAGTCCAAGTGAACAGCGAACAACACGATCATGCACGTCCACTGCAGCAGGGTCCATTCGGGGTATTTCGGCTGGAGCCCCAGTCAACCGTAACCCCACATGCGAATTCCCCGTTATTTGCAACTGCTGTGCCGGCTGCTCCAACACCCGATGACCCCAGATACACCAGGGATGACGCTTTCACCTTTACTCAGCGCGGGGTTGATGACGACGGAGCTCTACATGATGCCCCATCCAGTGCCCCGGGCCATCTATCCCCGCAATCCAACCTATCTACTGGTCTAGTCAGCACAGATTACCTTACCCCCAGCCAGACAGCAATATCCTGGCATTCTCCGCTTGCTGTCTCAACTCAGTCTGATGTCGACTCTTCTCTCAAGCTGTGTGAACTACTCCATCACTGGAAACGATACCTTAGCCGGTTGATGATCCCGTTCGCAACGGAAAACCCTTACGTCACTATAATCACCCCTATGATCGAGTCGACGAATCCAGACCAGATGAGTCCTGCGAATAGTGCGGTCTTCTGGTCGATTATGACGGCATCTGCATTCAGTAAAGCCCGAATGGTCCAGGACAGCAGCGAATATACTAAGCTGGGAGAGGCTTACTATTCCAAAACATTGAATCTTCTCAGCCTTTGCTTCTGTACACAAGAGGCTCATCAAGGCCTAGCGGTTCTAGCGGCGATCACCATGAGTAGCTTAATTGACGTGTTCCGTCCTTTGCCAGACTCCCGCGAAAGCTGGCAATTGCATCTGCAGGCTGGAAGGTCGTGGATCAGGTCGCAAGAGCTGGATTTACCGTCTCAAGACCCCAATGCTTCGATATTAATTGAGCTAATTCTTTTACTGGAGGTCCTTGGCTTCTCGTCTAAAGCAAAAGCTACTCCTTCCGTGCATGACTCTTTTTTGTCACTCAAATACAGCACAACCGACAGGTTCAGGCTCAAGGTTCCGGTGCTGCATGATTCATATCAGCTAGAACGCATGTTCGGTTTACCCCTCAATGTATTTGAGTGTATAATTTGGACAAATATATTGGTCCAGAAAGGTACCCTGGCATCCCAAGAGGACATTGAAGCTCTTGGGTTCCAGATTACCTCTTCAAATCCTGAATTCTTCCATCACTACTCGTCAGATGCACCTGATGCGTACGCTCGGATGTGCGTTCGATATTTGTTCTATTATGCCTGTGAGGTCTATTTTGAGAGACAAGTTCTGCACACCCCTGTTGCAGATGTGCAGTGGATCGTGAAAGCTGCGTTTCCGTACATTCGAGGCATCCTCTCCCATGACCATGAATTACAAGGGCCTTGCCTTTCCTGGCCTATCTTCATCATAGCGGCTGAAGCCACGGACCCGGAAGTCTGCAAGACCACTATCGCCTTTTTTGAGCTGGACTGGCCCAGGAAGATAGGAAACTACTCCGCCGCAAAGGAGGTATTACTAGAAGTTCAAAGACGACAGAAAGAGTCGCATCCTGTAGATCCCTTTTTTCATTGGACCGAGGTCATGGATGAATTGGGCCTTGATATTCTTTTGGTTTGAATATGAACATGAGTAGGAAAGGTACACACCCAATTATAATCACAATGAAAAAGAACTAGCATATTGAGCAAAAATTCTCTACCTGTCCAAACAAAATCTTTCTCAACCCATAATAAGTGCCAGAACTTGAACAGGCTTACTCAGTTTCATGAACACCACCCGCAATCTCCTCATACTGCTCAATCTCCTCGGCAGTCTCTCGTAGGATCTCAAAGCCTCTCTGCAAAGCCTCGTCAGGGATGGTCATCGCAATCGACATCCGAATACGCCCCTCTAAAGGATATGTGACCAACCCCTTGTGCATGGCCAAAGCAGCAAAGCGTCTTGCCGTAACAAGAGGGTTGTGATAATCCGATTTGAGCGTGATATTGAAATCCGCTCCTCGAGCGGTAACAAACTCAATGAACGCAAACTTCTGCACCCAGTCTTTGGTATATTCAAGAAATTGGTCTTGGATCTTCGCCGCCCGCGCTACCAGGCCTTCTTCGTCGATGATTTTCAAGGCGGCCGTGGTACAGGCGATGGCCATGGGCGTTTGCGCGAAAGTACCTGCACACTGGTAGGGCTTGACGAGGGACATGGTTTCATTGTTCCCTAGGACGAAGGCAGCCGGATAGGCTCCTCCCGTGATGCTTTTGCCGATTGTGATTATATCTGGCTTGATGTCGTCGCCCAGCCAGTCGGAGCACAGGAAGCGCCCTGTCTTGCCTGCGCCCATCCGGATTTCATCGGAAATGAAGAGGATATTGTATTTCTTGCAAAGTAGAGCAACCTTGCGGGCGTATTGTTTGTCTTGATCGAAGGTTCTTGTTTGAAAGTTAACGAAACTGTACTGGCTTTTCAAAATGATAAAAGGTCAACACCTACGGCAAATGGCCATGAATACACTCCATGATGATAGCAGCAACATCGCCATGGTGCTCTGCCAAACAATCTTCCATGTCCTCGATGTGGCCGTACCGCAGGATCGTCCTTTTGACCGGATGCACATTGGTGAGCTTGTCGTCAAAGACTCCATACGCTAAAAAATGGATCATTTGTTAGACCTCATACTTGTTCGAAGGGTCTAATGCTAGTTCTCTCCAAACTTACCATCTCTTTCCACATCTGGGTTCATAATGGGCCAAATTCCGGATAATAGGCCATGGTAATTGTCTCCGACACCAAGAACGAGCATTTTGTCTGCTGAGATGCCCTTCACCTGTCGACCCCATTTCCGTGCAATCTTCACCGCCGTGTCCGCTGCCTCTGATCCAGTGACGGCGGCGTTAATCTTGTCATATCCAAACCTACGGCACATCATTTCAGCAAAGGTGGGCCAGCTGGCCACACGCAAGGAAGTGTTGACAATCGTAGCTTTTTGCAGAGAACATCATGCACGTTAGAAACTCGGCTCTTGATAAAATAATCCAGTTAGCGGGATCAGTTTTTCTTACAAGTTTGAGCAGTTGAAGTAATAGCTTCAACCAACTTAGGATGGCACTGTCCCAGACTTCCGGCACTGAACATTGCAATGAAGTCAATGTATTCCTTCCCATCGATACTCTGGATTCAAATTCGATATAAGTATTTTGTTTCAATGTCTCAAGGTAATGTTTGCGCTAATTGAACCTACCCGAAGCGTTGACCCCTGGCCACCTGTAATATACGCAGGGAGTGGTGTAAAGCCACCAACAATATACTCGCTTTCTTTCTTCATCAACTCCGCCACTTGCGGCGACAAAGCTGGAGTGCTTTTCTTGGGAGACGCCGGGAAAACATCGGGCCTTTCGCTCACGGTAGATTCAACAACTGTTTGGGTCATAGTGACGATGCGAGATTGAAAGGCTGGAGGTAGTGGGAGAGGATGTCTGTATTGATTTACCTTTTGTTTCAATGAAGACAGAACAGCAGAGTCAATATATACAGTTGATAAATTCGTTCCAGACTGTCATTCCACCGCAAGGTCCCCGTTTATTTTACCCAATGTTCATAATTGATAAGAGCTATCGAGAGTAAATGTGGCGATAAATCCTAGGCGCTGGGTGATTCGGCTTGCGATTGAGGATGCATGCTCGCTCTCAATTTCCCAACTTTTCGCAAGCCGAGGTGAGTGGAGACCTTCCCGTCGCTTGGAACTGCCTCGTCATTCAAAGCGGGGGATCATTGAATTACATTAACGCGGAACATCACAGATAACCTTCAAGCTTTATCTATCGAGGTATTTCGGTATCCGGTGAATAACAACCGATTTTCAAGTATATATCTGTGGATTTAGAGACAATAATCTGCTTTGTCCTACGTCAACCGACACTACAATCTGTTCATCATCGTAGCAGGAACCCCCCCCCCCCAAAAACTCCCTCATCTCAATTTTCCACAATTCAACATGTCCAAGAGTCTCGCTGGACGCAATGCCATTGTCACGGGGGTCGCGAGGCATCGGCAAAGGCATAGCTTTAGAGCTTGCCAAGCGCGGTGCCAACGTCCTCATCACATACGAGAAGTCCGCCAATGCCGCCGAGGATGTTGCGGCTGAGATCGAAAAGCTCGGAACAAAAGCAATCGCTCTCCAAGCAAGCTCTCAAAATATCGAATCACCCCGCAAGATCGTGGCGGCCCTCGTTGAAGCGTGGGGCAAAGTTCACATCATCATCAACAACGCCGGGATCGGCGACGACATTTTCCTCGACGACTTGACCGAATCCGACTTCGATCGCCACATGATCATCAATGTCCGCATGCCCACGTTCCTCGTCAAGGCGGCGATGCCTTTCTTCGGTGACGCTCCCCGTATCGTCAACCTGTCCAGTGTCATGGCACGTGTGGGGAGCGCGCAGGCGACTGCCTACACTGCCTCCAAGGCAGCTTTGGAGGGAGTCACTAAAGTGCTCGCCGTTGAGCTGGGCCATAAGTATGGCGCTACAGTGAACTGCGTGAATCCCGGTCCGGTGGATACCGATATGTGGCAGCAGACAGACAAGGCGGTGCGCGATGAATGGGAGGCGAAGAAGGCCGTGGAAACTCCTGCAGCACCGCGGATTGGCACGGTGGAGGATATTGCGCTTATTGTGGCCTTTTTGAGTGAGGAGCAGAGCAGGTGGACGACCGGTAGCACGGTTTGTGCAAATGGGGGAATGGTGTGTGTATGATATGCGTCTCCGTTGGAGGTATCTATACATCGTGTTTCAAGTAACTAGTTGTTTTTATATTCCTTGTAGCGAAACGGCGCATGTGGTTTATCTCGGCTTGGGTCTAGCATGTGTTATTCTATATCTAACGGTATAGCTTGTCTACAAAGCATTGAAGACTACGCTGACTTCATTTTTAAATCTTCCGAAGGTTGACTTTAGTTGGATCTTTGTCCCCCAAGTCCTTCTGCTCCAGATGCCTAATTAGATTAAACTTGATGCAGTCACAGTTCTCGACTCCAGGCTATGCAGCACGATTTGGTCCATATTGATAGCAATTATCCGAAAGGATAAAAGATAGATAATGACCGGATAGCTCTAAAAGAACAGCTAGGATAAGAAGGTTTAACTGATATTAATGGCTGTCCTAGGTTGATAAGGCGGGCGTAATCGTCGCTCCGAACTTCCATTTCCGATTGACAAATAAACGCGGGGAGACTGTGGCTGGAACCTACCATCTCGATGATAAGCCACGGACTCGGAGACAGTGATATGACTACAGCAGGGATATCCAGTGGCGACTTTATATAAGACAAGATAAGGTCCTAAGCGGACGGTTCGCAATCCAGCAGCACTTCTAGAGTCTGCCGTGCTCATTTCGCTTTGAACCCCCTATATCGACTACCAGAAATCAATATGGCAAGCTCAAGCAAAAAATCAGCCATTGAGTCCAGTACTCAAGCCAATTCCGACTCCGCAGTGGATGTGGGGTTTGTGGAGGAGCTGCATCAACGACCCTTCAACCTGTGGAGCACACTGGGACTAGCCTTTTCGGTCACTTGCACACCTCTATCCATCGGCTCTTACCTCTCCGTCAGCGTGGGTGTCGGAGGAAGCCCTGTGTTCTTCTTTGGGTACATCTTCTCTGCCCTGATGAATATCTGCATCTGCCTTTCTTTGGCCGAGATTTCGGCAGTATATCCCCATGCATTGGGTAAGTCTTGAATTCGATTGATTCTCTTGCGGGCGTGAAACTGATCCAATGCAGGTCAAATCTACTGGACTGCAGTCTTATCCCCGAAGAAGTTCGCGCGACCAATGAGCTATCTCAGCGGTTGGCTAACTTCTGCTGGCTGGCTCTTTTGGTGTGCCTCGTCGTGCCTCCTAACCTCACAACTCACCTGGGCTCTCGTCCAAGCCTGCGACTCAGCATTTGTGACCCAAGCCTGGCACTTCTACTTGCTTTTCATCGTGTGCGCTTCTATTGCATTGGTAATCAATATCCCACTATTTCGATGGTATCCGCATCTCCTGAAGACCATGGTCTTGTATACCAACATAGGAGCTATCTTTATCTTCATCGCTATCCTTGTCCGAGCAACCCCCAAGCAAAGCGCTAGAGCAGTGTTCGTGGATATCATCAACCTCACGGGCTGGGATTCTAATGGCGTGGTATTTTTCATTGGGCTTCTACCAGGTGTGACTGCGGTGAATGCATTCGATTCAGCAGCACATATGTCTGAGGAAATGCCTGAGCCTAAAAAACAGGTTCCCAAAGTCATGGTAATCAGCACTTTACTCAGCTTCGTGGCTGCTATCCCAATGGTCTTAGCGTATCTGTTCTCAGTTGTTGACCAAGCTGCTCTCTACAACCCAGTGGGTGGCCAGCCTATCATCCAGCTCTTTCTTGATTCAATGGCCTCATTGCCATTAACCATAATATCGTCCCTACTCCTTATCGTCTCGATGACCATGTCCGCGGTGACAGTCCTTACAACATTCAGCAGGATTTGGTGGTCTCTAGCAAGGGAAAACGGCACACCATCCCCTTGCTTGTTCTCAAAAACAACTGGGGGGAATGAATTGCCCGTCCCTGCTATCCTGTTTGGTTTCTCTGCTACGGTCGCTCTCGGCGCGATCCAGCTCGGCTCAACAACTGCGATCAATGCAATCCTCGGTTCTGGCATTATTTGCATCATGTTGTCTTACGTTGTGCCCATTATCCTGTTTATCGGAGCCAGAAAGGACCTTCCCAAGAAGCGTTATTTCAACCTCGGGCGCTTTGGGGTGGTCTTGAATATCATTGCCATTGTGTGGACCATTTTCATCACTGTATGGCTTTTCTTCCCTCTTTATCTTCCTGTCACGGCTGTGACCATGAATTATGCAATTGCTGTCATGGCTGGAGTTTGTGTTGTTAGCTTGATCAATTGGCTCGCTCATTCACGAAAGTCGTACAGAGAGCCACAAGCGGCTTTGGAGACAGAAGATGCAACGGGCGGCATCTGAGGACTTTTTGGTGACGATTTTTATGGTGGTGGGTATTTATTTTACTGATTCGCTTTTGGGGGTCTTTCTTTACTCGATGTCTGCTCAAGATATCCTGCGATAATTTTCTGTAGCAATAAATTCAGAGCTCAATTTTGGAATCCTTTTCCAGTTTCTGTATTTACTGTTACGCCTTTATTTCACGCCATTCTATAAAAAAATCAATTCAAAGCAAAGACTATGTACATCAGTCCGGTTGGAAACCCTATATACGAACCTGCAATACGGTATTTTCAAACTAAACTGATTACTGCTATGGTCAAAGAAGGTGATCTTTCAGAAATTGTGCCTGGAATGCTGCATTCCGATCAAAGTTTGGACCAGAATACGCATCGAAGTGTCCACCCGGAAGCATCTGAAGGGTCTTGGGCTCCAATGCGCGTGAAAAGGCCTCCAGAGCTAAATCAGTGGGCGAGAGGACATCATTAACGGCCACTGTCATCAATAACGGTACTGGCGCAATGCGATGAATATGAGCCGATGGACAATACTCCCGGAGCGCTTCGACGCTATGAAGGGTCAGTATTTTCTTCGGCTGCAATTCCCACGATAATGAAAAAATAAAGGGCATATACCTTTTCAGAGTAACTTGGTTTTGCCAATCGCACTTTTTAGCCCAGCTGGAAAAGAAATCATAGCTATCTGGCGTGGGCAACGCAGATGGATTCTGAGGGTTGGAATCAATGACTGGCAACATAGCAGGAGGTTTCCCAGAAGCGCGATCCAATCGGTCTAGAAATTTGAGTGAGCTTCAAATACACAGTCAATTCGGCATTGTTGTAAACTCCCTACCTTTTTCAAAAAGTACGTTCATACTTCCCACAAAGTCCGGGCGAATCAGTCTCTGGAAATTACTATAGCCATCCACGCAAGGGACTTGGGACAACACGGCTTTAACCCGCTTGTCTGTCGCTCCCACCCAAAGCACATGGCCGCCGCTGAGGGAGCTGCCCCAAATGCCGATTTTGTCGGGTTGAACGTCTGGGCGAGATTGTGCATACGTGATTGCATCAGATATATCGCTAGTCTGCTGGGAGGGGATGATCTCCAAGGGCGGCTGTCCTTGCTTTGTGTTGCTCTCGCCAAAGCCTCGGTGGTCAAATACGAGACAGCTCATTAGTAAATTGGAGGTGAAGTACTCGGCAAATGTGTTTAGGTCCATCTCCTTCACGGCGGAAAACCCGTGGCACATCACAAGACAAGGCGACGGTGTAGATGGTGACAGGCATGGTCGAAAGAACCACCCGCGAATTGTGAGGTTGTCAGAGGTTTGGAATGAAACGTTTTCGGGTGCCATTTTTCAAGGCTGTGGATTTTCTATTGTGGAAGATGAAGTTCAAGCCATTAAAATAGAGGCAAAAGTATCTCGAAAAGGTGTCTAAATTACTAATTGATATTTGATCGAAATGTGTCTCTTTATTCTTATTCGTAAGGGAAATGGTTGAGCGCTGACCTACGGTTATGTTGACCAGACAAAGTCCGGGGCATATCTAGCCTGCTATCTTACGCACTCTCATACTCGTTAGAAACTTCCTAATCCGAAATTGGTTAGTCATGTAGATCTCTAATTTTGACCAATGATATGAAGTCGATGGTCAACTCTCCAAGACAAGAAGTTCTGAGCGAGTATCTTTCATAGGCGTTATCGGTGAGGATCCTGACAGAAGCTCTCACTGTGACTGACGATAGTGTTCTTGGGGAAATCATCAGCCTTGTCCAACTCAGATAGATTGTCGGTTGCCTGGGATCCTCGATGGTAGCCACGAAACTTAGGATAAGCTGAGCCTCTAATATAAGGCCCCAATCCGATCCCACCTCATATGATCAACTCTCAAGTTAGTTTCTCTAAGTTGAGTTACGCTCAATCACATCTTTTACCTTGAAATTTGACTAGCCTGCTACTCAATACCAGTCTACCCTGCAAGCTTCAGTAAATGAACACCAGTCCAAATCATGAGAAGTTCCAACTAACAACCCCAGCCAAGATGGACCAAGCAGCCTACGAGAATTACCTGACGCAAGTAAACCTGGGCAAGATCCGTGACATCGCCGAACAATACTACGACGATTCTCTCGAAATTTCCTCCGGGGGTGTCACATACAATAAGACGCAGCTTCTTCGCCTGATGGATGTCACCGCCGAACAGCTCGTGGAAAGCTTTGAGTTGGTGAATTTCTACCAAGCCGAGGATGGCATCGCCGCCGAGGTCAAGACCACCTTTGTGGCTAAGAAGGACGTAACCAAGGAGCCGTTTGAGAAATGTGGCTTTCCGGAGGCCTATATTGAGCTTAAGAAAGGGGAGAGCTTTGTCGCTCACAGTTTGTACACTTATAAAATAAAGTGTGGGAAGTTTGTATTTAGTCGGGGATTCTCAGCGTGAGAGAAGAGTCAGGTCTATGGGCAATCCTAGCGGCCATGACAGAAGGGTATTAAAACTAGACTAGTTTTAAAACTACAGTGATATTAAAACCAGAGAAAATCCACTTTTGGCCACGCGGTCTCAGAAGTATGAACTCCCTACTCTAGTTTTTATACTTCTCTGGTTTTAATACAAATGGAATCACGTCTATCACGAAACCATGGGGATTGGTATTAAAACTAGAGTAGTAATAAAACTAGAGAGAATCCAATTTTGGCCAGTCGTCTTTTTTCGGCCGCCAGTCAGAGTTCTATTTTTAACCAGCAGCGAGGT